TTGGAATATGGAATGGAAAAGTTCAATTCCAGCTCCAGGAGAGGGCTGGAATGTTGGAATATTGAAAGGAAAAATTCCAGCTCCCAGGAGAGGAGTGGGATGTTGGAATATCGAATGGAAAAGTTTCTTTCAGTTCTAATTCCAGGAGAGGGGTGGAATGTTGGAATACGGAATGGAAAAGTTCAATTCCAGCTCCAGGAGAGGGCTGGAATGTTGGAATATTGAAAAGTTCCCTTCAGTTCCCAGGAGAGGAGTAGAATTTTGGAATATCAAATGGAAAAGTTCCCTTCAGTTCCCAGGAGAGGGTGGAATGTTGGAATATTGAAAGGAAAAGTTCCCTTCAGTTCCAAGGGGATTTCCTGGGATGCTGGAATTTGGTGTTTTCTTTTCCCAGTGTTCTGGAATTTTGTGTTTTTCAGGATGCTGGAATTTTGTGGCTTCCCTGGGATGCTGGAATTTGGTGTTTTCTTTTCAAAGGATGCTAGCATTTTGTCTTTTCCAGGATCTTAGAATTTTGACTTTTGCCAGGTTGCTGGAATGTTGTATTTTCCAGGATTCTGGAATGTTCTGTTTCCCCAGGATGCTGGAATTTTGTCCCTCTCCAAGATGCTGGGACAACCTTCCCCTTCGGGCTGCAATTCCTGGCAGGGATGGATTACTACTCCATTACTAATGGATTTTTAAATCATTAATTTATTATTTATTACTAATTCCAGCCAGCTTGATGAGGACATTTCTCTATTTTAAGGAATTTTCGGCCTGAGCAGGGAATATCTTGGATCAGCTGGCACGGGAGGCAGGGAAGGAGCAGAGTTTGGTTTTATTTTTTCTCTTTCTTGCAGGCAATCATCAAATATCTGCAGGACCAAGGAGTTCTCATCCTGCTCACCTCCTCAGCCTTGGCACGGGAGGACGGTAAGGCCGGGCCTAATTCCTGCTGGGGCTTGGGGGCTTGGGAGCTAAACTGGGCCTGGCTCCTTAAGCTGGGCCTGGCTCCTTAA